AGAGAGAGAGAGAAATAGAGCTCTGCAGGTTCTTTGGTTGATTGTATGTTGCTATGCACTGACGCCTTTTGCTCTGAGCCCATTGTTGCTACTCAGTTCGCTTGTGCGTTATTGCTGCTGTTGCTGCTGTCGTTACTGTTATTTCTGCTGCCGTTATCGCTGTTGCTACTGATGTCAGTCTTGCTGCTGCTCCTGTTGCTGCTACTGTCATCGTTGTAGTTGCAGCTGCTGCTGCCGCTGCTGTTGATGCTGCTGCTACTACGACCACCACCACCACCACCACCATCATCATCACCCCCAACACCACCACCAACAACAACAACACTACCAAATACTCCCTAACCATGAATGATGCCAAGGCACTCCACCATAGCTTTTAATATAATCACAACTTCCTGCAATGTCAATGAGTAACAAMATATGAATAAATGCACCGACTAAACATCACCGTTGGTAGTCAACGACGATCTTATCACTTAAATCGGCTCTTTGTATTTCTCTGATCAAACCGATGCATGTATTATGTTTGAATGTTCTGACTGCGCGGTGACGTCAGTCAATACTCTTAGTCCTGTATTTATCTATTCACGTTCAATACAACCGTGTCGTGTCTGGTCAAATATCGATAAGGCAGCTCATTACGAATATGCTTACGCTTCAAGACGCTCTTATCGTTGCTTGATAGAATTTATATCTCGACTAAAGCATGTGTTTGTAATTTTGGACCTTCTTGTTTATTCGGAACTAAAATTGTGTTAATTAAACCTGGAGTAGATGAATCAGTTTAATAAGATAATAGAATATTGGCTTTTAATTACTAAATCCTCTCGCCAAAAAGACGAAAACATTTCACCAGGTATCATAGATAAAATGTTGCTTTTTCTGAGGATTTTTCTGAGGCCTGCCTTCATATTTTGAGTTCTTTTTACGCAGTTATATTCATCTTATGGTTCAAAACGTTTAATATATTTTTTCTTCAGCATTAAGATTTTGTGTTTCTAAGACTTTGTCATTCATCTTCAGTGAAACCTGGTCGATTAAAAAGAGTTACTCGTTTGCTACACTTATATCTGTATCTTGGGTGATCTTAGTAACTCGACATATGATATACATTATATTACATATTCCCGGTATTTTTTCATCAAAATTTCCTAATTCTGATGCCTCAACCCGTTTTCAAGTTTTCACTTTATTTCTTTTTTCATTTTATGACGAAGATAGATTTTTTTACCGCTAATWTTTTGATAACTGATCTTCTTCTTCTCAATTCCTTTATTATACATTAACTAAAACCACTGTTATTGAGTGTTGACTTTTCTTTCCGGTCTCATTCATGTCATTCATATATTCCCTTTTTTTATTCATTCATTCATTTAATGTCGCGATATTTCATTTTCCATTCCTCCCATCCATAAATTTTTCATTTTCTTATCTTTTTTTTTTTTTTCATTTTCCATTATGCATTTTTTGTCCAAATTTCATTTCACTTTTTATTGTCCATCCATATTATACTTTTTTCAATTCCTTCTATCCATCCTATTTCGTTTCATTTTTCGTTATCCATCCATATTWCTTTCACCTCGCATTTCTAATTTTCCACCATGCACTCTTCTCATTATCTATCCCTTTATCATTCATTCGTTTTTTGTTTTGTTTTTATTAACATCGCAGGGAATATATCGCTATTCTAAAATCATGCCTTGCATATTAAACAAAGACTGTGCTACGCCTTAAACAATGATCGAGAGCAAAGATCATAAAATCTCGCTCCCAACACACCCCTATACCGCACCACGACAACAAAGGCTTGCGTATTTCCGCTCCAGGCTATTTCCCAGTGACTAATAAACACCCAAAAAAATCCTTCATAACTAATCATACACTTTATTATATTACCGTAATTTTTACTTACTTGGCGCGAGATAAAATCAATTTGTGCGGTAGAAACTTTCATTGCGCACGTGATTGAATCTATCAAAATTGAAACATTTCTATTGATTTTAGCTTCAGATAAGAACAGCATTAAAAGAACAAACCCTACAAAACTAGACCTCAAGATACCTACCCGCCTTCTGGCTTACACCAACTTACAAAGGTGAGTTCGATTTTAAACTCTTGGGATTT